GGCCAAAATGGAATTGTCTTTCAAGAAATTCCGGAGCCATTCAGCTTCTTCACCGGCTTTATCTAAGGCTATGAACTCAGCCTCCATTGTAGAGCGAGCAATACAAGTTTGTTTGGACGACTTCCAAGATACCGCGCCTCCACCAATAGTGAATACATATCCACTGGTGAACTTAGAATCAATTAAACCGGTGATCCAATTTGCATCACAATATCCCTCAATCACCGCAGGATATTTACTGTAGTGCAAAGCAAAGTCCTGGGTATGTTTTAAATATCTCAAAACTCGTTTAATTGTCATCCAATGAGATTGACCTGGATTGCCAGTGTATTGACTCAATTTACTTATAGCACAAGCTATATCTGGTCATGTACAATTCATGATATACATTAAGCATCCCAACACACGAGCATAATCCAATTGTGATATGCTTTGGCCTTTGTTATTTGCTAATGCAAGATTCACGTCAATTTGAGTCTTTACAGCTTTAAACCCTAAGTGCTTGAATTTTCTAAGTACTGTCTTAAAATAATGAGATTGTGACAATGTTAGACCTTGAGGAGTCTTATGGATCTTAATCCCCAGAATTAAATCAGCAACTCCTAAGTCCTTCATATCAAACTTGCTATGCATACGCTTAGTAGCATTTATATTGGTAATGTCATTACTCATTATCCACATATAAGCAAACAATGACTATGTGATTTGGAACATTTTTAATGTACACACATTTATCACATTCATTTATCTTAAAACCAGTTGACAATATTATTTGGTCAAATTTCGCATGCCATTATTTTGGTGTTTGTTTTAGTCCGTAAAGGGACTTAACAAGTACATACCTTCTTTTTTTTACCTGGAACTACAAACCCTTCAGGTTGTTCCATGTAGATTTCTTCCTCCAAATCTCCATTCAAGAAAGCCGTCTTAATGTTCATTTGATGAATTTCAAGACCATACACTGCAGCTAATGCTATTAACATCCGTATGGACGTAATTTTTTTATCTGGAGAGTATATATCAACGTAGTCAAGACCGTCTCGTTGTCTATACCCTTTGACTACAAGTCTTGCCTTAAATTTGTCAATAGTGCCATCATCTTTCATTTTCCTCTTAAAAATCCATTTAGAACCCAAAAGTTTATTTTCAGGAGGAAGATAGACCAGTTCTCATGTATGGTTGTTCAATATGGATTCTATTTTATTATTGACTGCCTCTTTCCAAAACAATGATTCCGAAGAAGACATAGCTTTTTTAAATGTTCGAGGCTTATTTTCCAATAAGAAAGTCACAAAATCTGGTCCAAATGAAGTAGACGTTCTTTGACGTTTACTATGTTTTGGATCCTTCTGATTAAATGCACTTTCTTTTGTTTCTTCCCGAGGTTGTTTAGATCCTTCACCAATCGACTCACATTCCTTTTTATACGAATATATATTTTCAAAGAACTCAACATTATCTGATTTTATAACCGTATTATTATGAATGTCAGAATTTTCTGATTTATGAACCAAAAATCGATATGCTTTACTATTGGTGGCATATCCTATGAAAACATAATCAACGGTTTTCGGTCCTATTTTTCCCCTTTTGGGTTTAGGAACTTGCACTTTTACCAAACACTCCCACACTTTAAAATAATTCAAGTTGGGCTTTCTTCCTTTCCATTTTTCATATGGAATGGATTGTGTTTTTTGCTCTGGGGTACTCGATTTAGTATCCGGTTAGCCGTAAGAACGTCTTCCCCCCACAAGTTCTGTGGCAAACCAGAACTTATCAACAATGCGTTCATCATCTTCTTTAACGAATGATTCTTTCTTTCCGCAATCCCATTGGATTGGGGCGTATAAGAGACCATTATTTGATGAATGATTTCATATTCTAAACATATTTCTTCAAAAGGAGATTCATATTCACCACCTCTATCACTTTTTATCATTTTGATTTCTTGTTAAGTTGTGTTTCAACTTCATTTTTGTATTGCCTGAATGCGTCTATTGCTTCATCTTTACTATTAAGTAAGTAAACATAATAATATCTAGTACTGTCGTTAATAAAAGTTATGAAATACTTCTTTCCACCGCGAGATGGTATTGACTTCATGTCGCAAATATCTGTGTGAATTAAGTCTAAAGGATTTGAATTCCTTTCAACTGACTTATAAGGATGTTTAACATACTTAGATTCCACACATATTTGACATTTTGATTTTTCGTATTTAAACTTAGGCAATACTTCCAAGTTAATCATTTTATGCAATGTTTTATAATTGACATGATCCAAATGTATACGCCATAAATCATTTGACTCAAGTAAGTAAGAAAAAACTGAAATTTTATTATTATTCTCAAAAACCATTACATTCAGCTTGAAAAGGCTCTCGGTGAGGTAACATTTTCCTACAAATATCTCATTCTTACTTATTACAACCTTATCAGATACAAAGACATATTTAGACCCATTCTCAACAAGAAGTCCAGCAGAGACTAATTTTTTTGTAATATCGGGAATGTGAAAGACGTTCAGAGTGACCACCTTGCTAGAAGTCATTTTCAGAAATATCTTCCCACATCCTTCAATTTTTGTCGTTGCAGAATTTTCCATAGAAAGCATCTCTTCGGGTCTAATAGGAGCATATGTAGCAAATGCTTCTCTAACGGCACAAACATGGCGAGTGGCTCCAAAATCAATCCACCACTCCTTAGGATTTCCCACTAGATTGCATTCAGAAAGCATAACACATAAGTTATCAACATCTTCGTGCTTTTCAACCATGTTTGGCCCTTCTTCTTGTCTTTCTTTGGAGCATGACAATCTGTAGATTTGTGTCCAGCTTTCCCACAGTTGTAGCAATTTTCATTGAACCGCTTCTTTCTTGGGTTACTTTTCAGTCCAGAAGTCTGCTTCCTCTTTCTCTTATTTTGAGGAGTATCCTCAACAATGTTTGCTTCCATTATTGTTGAGTTTCCACGGCTTCTCTTTTCAGTAACTTTGTTGTCCTCTTCGATTCTCAACCGAACAATGAGATCTTCAAGCAACATCTCCTTGCGTTTGTGTTTCAAGTAGTTTTTGAAGTCCTTCCACAAAGGAGGCAACTTCTCAATCATCGCTGCAACTTGGAAAGCTTCATTGATGATAAGACCTTTAATGAAAATTCTATTAGTAAACATAATAAAATTAATACTTTTAACATCAGTATTAATTCTACTTATACCTTCATCAAGGAGATCGTGAATAATCACTTGCAATTCCTGGACTTAGGTAATAACAGACTTGTTATCTACTATTTTGTAGCCCAAAAATTCAGCTGCAACGAATTTCTTCAACCCGGCATCTTCAGTTTTGTATTTCCTTTCAAGCGCAATCCACAGTTCTTTTGATGTCTCCACGCCATTATGGACGTTATATAAATCGTCCTCCAGTCCGCTAAGAATATAATTCTTGCACAGAAAATCAGAATGCTTCCACGCCTCAATCACGAGAAAGCGTTCATTCTCTAGGGTTTCATCGGGCAGAACAGGAACATCTTCCTTAATGAACTTCTATAGACTTAAAATAGAAGAACATCTTCTGCTATCACCGCTTGAAATCAATCTCGAAAATTTTTTCGGGGTTTTCTGCCGGTGTTGTTCAGCTTGTTGATGCATTGGCAGTCACCATAGGAACAGTTTGGTTCTTGTTGTCATTCTTCATTTTTGTAAATGAATGACGCAAAAAAACGTTAAAATTACATAGATTTTAATCTCCAACGGAGTAGAAAATCACAAAGGTTTTAGTCTCCATAACAATGAATATAACACAAATACAGAAAATAAATTAAATTCCTTAAGCTTGTTAGTATCCTGTATTTGTAAAAATAATTCTGGAGAATATAAAATAACGTATAAACAGAAATGAAAAAATAGAAATAAAATTTAATCCGAGCCCACTGAATTCACAGTGTTTCCTTAAAGAATTTAATCCCTTCCTAGTATCCAAGGTTGTGGATTATTTCCTCCCATGATAGAATGAGTTACACACTTGTGTAACGGTACTTCAAGCCCTAGTGTTTTAGCGAACACAAAGATCAGTAGCAAATCACACTTACTGTTGCTTAGTAGTTAAAACAATGCAGAAGAAAGGAGGAGAACTCAGAAATTCGTATGGAAAATCTAAGAGAATGATCTGATATTATAGCCAATATGTTGAGACTTTTCAGAAGGGCTATCATGACTGTTTAAGCAAAACGGTCATAATGTAAATGGCTATTTATGCAGTAATAAAACGAGAATTCAAACCTTATTCTTCTGTTACAAAAGCGGAAAGCGGACGGGAAGGGAGCTTAATTTTTTGTTACAAAAACGGAAAACGGACATTGATGAAATGGATAATTTGGATTTAATATTAATTTTCCGTTTACAAAACCAGATATTTAATAATACTACGTTAATATTTATTATTAACAAATAAATTTGGTCCAAAAAATTAATCAATCAATCGATCATTTGACCAAATCCAAATCCGAATCCGAATCCAAAGTCGAAGTCGAAGTCGAAGCCGAGCCGAGCGAGCGACGACAATGATGACGCGATACTTGCCTTCTTCTTAACTCTTTAAGAGTTAGAAGAAGAGCAATTGTATATATATATACCCATCAAAAACTTTTTCCTCTTCCAATATGGGACAATGTCCCATTGTGAAGAGGGAGAACTTAAAATTTTCATTTTCCCTCCATTTCCCATTCACCCTCTTTTAAGCTTATTTTAGCTTAAAACCCTCAACATGCTTGTATCACCACTTTTCGCTTTAATATTAAACTCTACTTCGTAATATCATATTTAGCTGTTGTTAGTGATTGGCTTACATAGTTTTAGAGACTAGGTTGCCATAACGATCCTTAAGGTGTGATTTTGGGTCATGACATAACCCCCAACAGTCGTCCCGATATGGCCATTGGAATCCCCTCATATAAATATCTTCTATGTGAGCCGGATACCACATACAACCTTGTCCAAACCCTCCTAGAAGTGCCTTTTAACCTCCTCATCCAAGCCCTCATGAGGAGCGTAAGCGCTAATAACGTTTAGAGTAAGCCATCCAACACCAAGCTTAATAGCCATCAGCCTATCGTTCACCCGCCTAACCTCTACCATTAACTCCCTAAGTTTCCTGTTCACCAAAAAACCTACTCCGTTCTTACTCCTCACACCTCTAGAGTACCATAATTTAAAATCGTCTGCCTCTCGTGCCTTAGTCCCCACCCACCTAGTCTCTTCGGCACAAGCTATATTGATCTTCCTTTTCTGGAGAATCTTTGCCAACTCTATGGACTTCCCCATCAACGTCCCTATGTTCCAAGATCTGATTCTCATCCTAGAGACTCCCTTGTTTCTACGTATATTTAGATATACGTAAAAGTTACTATTTAAAAAAAATTTAAATCTGTAATTTCAAAAGCATAATGATTGCAATAGTAAAAACCTAAAGTTAATCAAATTTATATTCTCAATCCATTTCTTTCGTAATAGTATATATATTCTCTTAAAATTCTAAATCCACCTTTGCCTTCGACCATATTGCAAGTTGGTCTTAGCGGTTAGTGGTTGTAATAACTGTGCATATATAGAGAATGCACATTTATAACCATGTTTTGTTTTTGCTACGGTTAGAAAATGATTTTTCGACCATTTTTTAAGAACAATTAACCTTTTTTTTAAGTTCGTCATTATNTAGGCCGCCATGGGGCGCGGCCAAGGGGTCATGGGGCATGTCTGGAAAGCAGCCCATGACATTTCACGTGTTAATTTTTTGGTACATTTAGTTTCTTCCTGGTTGAATTTGTTTTATTCTCAGGCTCTTCTTGATTGTCGAAATCGAATACTTCTAACTTTTTAGTAATGTGATGACTCGAAAGATCATCTTATGTTTTAGAACTCAATTCTGCATTTTAAGCCTTAAAATCTCATTTTTACCCTCCTTGATTTGCGTGCGTAGTCCGGACGTATTTCCGAAAAGCTTTTATGTTAAAAGTTGATAAAAATAAAAAAATTGCCTAAAAATTCATTTGAGTTGACTTCAGTCAACTTTTTGGTAAATGGATCCGGATTCGTAATTTGACGGTCCTGGTGGGTCCGTATCGTGATTTGGGACTTGGGCTTATGCCCGGAATCGAATTCGAAAGTCCCTAGATCGAGATATCGAACTTTGTCAATATTTAAAAGTTAAAGACTTAATGAATTTGAAAGGTTTAACCCATAGTTGACTTTTCGATATCGGGTCCGTATTTTAGTTCCGGAACCCGATATAGGTCCAATACCATATTTATAACTTTTTTGTGAAATTTAGTGAGAAAAGGAGTTGGTTTGACGTAATTCGGACGTCCGATTGTGAAAATAGAAGTTTCAAAGTTTTCTTGAAAATATCATTTGATTTGGTGCTAAATTTGTAGTTTTAGGTATTACTTTGGTATTTCGATCGAGCGAGCAAGTTCGTATGATATTTTCGGACTTGTGTACATGTTTGGTTGAGAGCCCCGAGGGCTCAGGTGAGTTTCGGATAGGTTACGGAGTGAAAATTGACTTGGAAAAAAATTGTTGGTGTATTTGATCTTGTTGAAGGCCTCTGATCTCACATTGCAACCTCTGAGGGGTTCGCATTTGCGAGCTTCTCATCGCAAATGCGAAGAGAAGCTGGGCCACACAGGTTTTGCATTTGCGAATTATCCTTTGCATTTGCGAAGTAAGTCCGGGCAGGGATTCTTCGCATTTGCGATCCTCAAGGTTCGTATTTGTTAACACTTTGTTCGCATTTGCGAAGGCAATAGAAGTGTGGGAGTTTCGCATATGCGAAGCTTTTCTCGTATTTGCGGGCTTCGCATTTGCAAAGCCCAGGTCGCATTTGCGACATCTGCAGCTGGTTAAATATGACTTAGACGTGATTTTTTCCTATTCTTCAAATTTTCAAAACCTAAAACCTTAGAGGCAATTTTCCAAAGAACATTTCTTCCCCAAATCATTGGCAAGTGATTCTAAACTAGTTTCTTTCAATCTTTCACTATATTTTACAAGATTTCAACCGAAAATCTAAGGTTTTTATGGTGGAATGGGGGGAGGGTTGGGTAGAAACGAGGGATTTGATAAATTGGGGATTTAGATCTCAAATTGAGATCGGATTCTAAAATAAATTACATAACCGGGCTCGAGGGTGAATGAGTAATCGAGTTTTGGCCCGAATTTTGGGTTTGGACCAAGCAGGTCGGGGGTTGACTTTTGTTGACTTTTTCAATAATGGCCTAAATTGAATTATTTACAATCGTGGGTAGTTCCTAAGGCTTAATTTGAATCGTTTGGTTGGTAAATTGCTAGATTCTATTGGTTCGAAGGCGTATTTGAAAGGCAAAGCCGTGATTGAGCTTTGAGTTGGGCCGTTGGAGCGAGGCAAATGTCGTGGTTAACCTTGGCTTGAGGGATTAGGTCTTATTTGCCTATTTGCTACGAGTTTGAATGTTGGTTACAACGTATAGGTGAGGTGACGAGTACCTATGCATTGTTGTCGGGTCATAACATGCGAGTGAGTCTTATTCTTGTAATTTTTGCTTTTCGTGGTCATATTATCCATGCTTAGACTAGTTAATCATTAGATTGATCGTCCTTATCATGTTTACGGACTTTGGTATTGATTGAGTATTTATTCAAGTTGAGGTTGGTATTGTGGAACCAAACGTTGAAGTAACACTTGTTCTTGTTATTTCCATCTCCCTGTTGTTATTGTTTATTATTTTGGTGAGGGAGAGTGTTAATGCACGAAGGGTGATGTCATGCCGTATTTTGTGAGTGTTAATGCACGAAGGGTGATGCCATGCCAGGTTATGAGAGAGTTAATGCACGAAAGGTGATGCCATGCCATTTCTATTGAATCATATGGTGAGGTTGAGAGTAAAAGCACGAAGGGTGATGCTGTGCATTTTTCTTTACCGTGTTTACTTGTTCCTATTTGTTTAAGGTATATTAGTTGATCAAGTTCTTATTACTGTTGTGGTTCCTTATCTTATGACCCCCTCAGCATGTCCCCCTCCCGATATTACTTGTCTAGCTTTCATTTGCAGTTATCTTTGTACATATATTGTTAAATTGCACATATTTATTTTTGGGTCGACACTTACCAGTACATGGGGTCGGTTGTACTGATACTGCACTCTGCACTTCCTATGAAGATTTTGGTATTGGCCCCAGTTGATCGAGATGCATAGTAGTTTGGACCGGACTACCGGAGACTCAAGGTAGATCTGTCGACATTCACAAACCTTGAAGTCCCCATCTACCTCTTCTGTTTTACTGTTTTCTTTTGTTCAAACAGTTGCACTTCTTTCAGACTTTTACTTGTAGTAAATCCTAGAATGTTCGTGAATTTGTGACACCAGATCCGAGTAGCAGTAAATGGTGAAGTTATTATAATATTTCGCACTCGCCGTATTTCATTTTAGCTTATCTACTGTTACTTGTTTAATTGAATAAAGTTTGGCTTAATAATCTTCTAATGTTGGCTTGCCTAGCAAGTGTAATGTTAGGCACCATCACATTTCCAACGATGGAAATTTCAGATCGTGATAAGTAACTAATAATCGTAGCACCGAAATTACAAAATACGTGTTTCAATTCTCAAGGTTTATGTTTTTAAAAATAGCCAAATAGAAAAAGAAAGAATTACAAGAAAATACACATCACTTCACACCATAACAAAAAATGGCCTTTGTTTTTAAGTTTAACCCGACCTAGCCCATATTGTACATATTTTGAAAATAGTAGCTCTTGCAAATTCAAAATCTGTGTTTTTACAACCATTGCTTCTAAAAAGCTATAGAGTGAAATTTGTGTTCTCACAACCATTGCTTCACTCTCTCTTCTTCTCACATCTTTTACATATGCTTTAAGGGGTTGTTCGCCATTACTGCTTCTCCCCCTATATCATCTGATTGCAATGTAAAAAAATTAAAGAGTGGAAGTCCACCATTGAAGGACATTCAGAGCTTTGGTTTCGAAAATAGGACTTTTTGAGTTTGTTAGTTATTTGGTTTGGGTGTTGTTCCAATTGATTGAAAATATCAAAAGAAGTTCAAAATTTAAATTGGAAGTGATTTGGAGCAGATTTGAGTTAAATTTCAGAAAAGACGCAAGGAAGAAAACGAAGTCAGTTTTTTGTATAATAGTGTATATGAGTGTATAAACACATCTTATACATTATTATACACTTTTATACACCTTTATACAAGCATCTGTAGACGAACTTCTTCCACGATTTTCAGTTGCAATTCTTGTTCAAAACCAATCCAAATCTCTATTAAATGACTTCAAATTTTATATACAACCTACTTATGCTATTTCTAACAAGTCTAAATAACACCAACTCCAAATTTCTCAATAAATTAAATTCGAAATTTAAACTCACATATATAAGCTTGTTAAAAATCTAATCTTCACCACCTAAATGGATTTGGTTTGTTGAACTAATATTTGAGTCACAGTTACTTATTCAAAAATTAACTTAAAAGCTTGAGCAATCTTTTTTAAAAATCAAATAGTAATTTTGAGAACCTATTAGAGTTGGATGTTGAATCTTAGCCCATTATTTTTGGACTAGTTGGTTGTAAATTAAAATATGGATTATAAAATTGAAAAGTAGGGAGCTCAGTTGTTCTTATGTGAAATTTTCCCATAGAAAAATACCACAATTCTTATAAAAAAATCTTATGCGCACATAATATTTACATCAATGAAATCGAGTATAACACAAAAAAATTACTTCACACTTGAATTTGCATCAAACAAATTAATGTAAAAGTGTCTTATATATAACTTTTATCACTAAATTACAATAACAACAACAACAAACCTAGTTTTGATCTCATAAATGAGGTCTAGGGAGGGTAGAGTGTACACAGACCTTATCCCTACCTCATAGAGATAGAGAGGTTGTTTCCGATAGACCCTCGGCTCAAGAAATAATGAAAATAAAGCAACCAAGTAGTAAAGAATGTTAGCAACAATGTAAAATAGTAATTGTATGGGTCAAAATCAAATCAGAGAAATTCGACATGCAGAGACAATTGTCATGAGTAACCTGCGAATCGAATTGAGCTGTCTGGCCGAGGTCAAGCAGTGATCAATAAGGCCGAGGTTGAGCAGTGATCAACAAGGCCGAGGTCGAGCAGTGATCATCAACAAGGTCGAGGTCGAGCAGTACAAATAGAAGTAACGACTAGTTTTGCTTTGGAATCTTCAAATGGAATATTCTCTCTAATTGTACTTTTTTAGGGTTTTCTAGGGATATCCCTTATAAATAG